TATTTATTTTTCCACATTATTGCTTTCTGTATGAGGAAAAAATTAAAATGGCCATTAGATTACATATAGCTTTCTTGGTTAGTCATATGTCAGGGTGAGTATATGTCTACTTTCCAACCATCTATTGCAATGCAAGTTGACCTGTGTTGATGTCCTATTCAGAATGAGTCCATGTTTTGTATGTCATAATAAAGTAAAAACAGAGTCCTTCTTCCCTAATAGTTAAATATAGAAGAAAAAAAAACCTTTGAAAAATCAGGCCGGGCGCAGTGGCTGACACCTGTAATCACAGCACTTTGGGAGGCCGAGGTGGGTAGATCACCAGAGGTCAGGAGTTTGAGACCAGCCTGGCCAACATGGTGAAACCCCATCTCCACTAAGAAAAAAAAAATGCCAGGCATGGTGGTGGGCACCTGTAATCCCAGCTACTTGGGAAATCGAGGCAGGAGAATTGCTTGAACCTGGGAGGTGGAGGTTGCAGTGAGCCAAGATTGCGCCACCGCACTGCAGCCTGGGCGACAGAGAGAGACTCCATCTCAAAAAGAAAAAAACAAAACAACACAAACCACACAAAAAAATCAGAATTCCAATTGGATTTTATATCTGTTATACGCGATCTTGATAAAGAAAATAAAAAGCTTTAAATAACAACCAAACAAAACTGATAAAGAGGAATTTTAGTTACTAAAACGTAGCAGAGAACATCTTGGACTAAGGAAAGATTATGTGTAATCTTCCATATCTTGGAGATTAGATACGTCATCTACATGGAGAACTTGTATTTAGTTCCATCTGAATTATCAAAGAAATTTCCTATTCTATTTCTTATATTGTTCTTGTGAAGGTGGAAAGGAAGATTATACTTTCTGCAATACTTTCAGTAGTTGTTCAAGCAAAAAGGTGAACTTTCTTTTTTGATCTAATGATTTGGTTTAACCTGAAAAAAAAACCAGTCAAGAATCCCGTTCCCAAAGCATTCCTTAAACATTCCTCTAACTATGCTTCTCAATCCACTCTCCTGTGTCCTCAGATATAATGAGAATTAAGTCATGTCCTGATTTAAATTGTTGACTTACCTATGACTCATAAAATTCTCAAAGGATACTTTTGGATCATCTGGGATTTTCACTGTTCTTGGTTGTACCTCAAGAAGAAAGTCTCATTTAGAATGCTGCCTATAACTGCATTCTAATTTAAATACATAATATACCACTTTAGTGAATTTGAGTTGTATTTGATATCAAAGTCCTTCATACATCCTTTTGTGATGTGAATGAACCAGAAGATTTCACCCTTCCCTCAAGCCAGCGTCATTGTTCTTCCCTGGGTATCAGTTGAAATTAGATATACAGATTTAGTAAATCTTTAAAATCGGTTTGTTTAGATGCCCTCACCCCCAACACACACATGTTCTTGAGGTCTCAGGTTAGCTATCACTTTCTCAGAGACTGCTGACTGCTGGACTACTGTTCGGTAGTCCTCTGCTCTATGTTCTTAGGGCCTCCTGGATCAAAATACTCATAACCTTTATATTGTAGTTACTTGTGTAATGTCTGGGTTCCCTAATAGACTTTCAGCTTTATGAGGGCATAGTCCTTGTCTCTATTTTTGTATTTCCAGCTGCTAACACGATGTCTGTTTAAGAAATATTTTTGATCAAATTAGTGAATGAATGAACCCACCTTGAAGCACACTTGAAATTTTAAAGGCGTATTTCATACAGGCCTAAAATCAATGCACAGTTACAGTATTTTTGGTTAAGAAACATCACTTTCTTGAACTTTTCCAAGTTTGTTCCCAGCACTAGATGTTGGTTTTAAGAATGTTTTCACTAGGAAGCACTTTTCCATTATTTCTCAAAAATTATTGTAGCTATAATAATAAAATGATAATCACAAAGATGTGGGTGCAGGTCACTCTACTAAGTGACTTGTACCAAGTGACTCGTACCAAGTGACTCATGATTTCAGTTTATGACATAACAAAGTTACAATTACAATGTCTTAAGGACCTTTAGAAGTGCTTGAAAATAGCAAAAAAAAAAAAACACAAAAAAACAAAAAACCAAAAAAACGAATGCAAAGGCTATACAAATGCCAAGAACATACTATGTTTAATCAGCTTGTTCTCCTAACTCATTAGCTGAAGAAAGGATGGGAGAGGGAGAGGAGGTGATCTGGTAACAAGGAGTCTCTGGGCATAGTGGGGGCAGCCAAGGCTTTAGTAAGAACCTGAGGAGAGATTTCTAAACATAAAAGTGGATGAGAATGTACTAGAGACAGACTGCTTTATTCAAAAATGTATCTAAAGTTGACTCTGCTACAAGGGAAGATGCAGGAAACCCTAACTCCTCCTGAATAGCATGATTCCTGTTCTAAATCCCCTAAATCCAGCCAGTGCTGTTGTATGAATGAACTGTGCTACAGGGGCGACATCAGAACAAAGCTGCCTGCCAAAGACAGGATTTTTGTTTTTGAGAAAAAGGGTACTGTGATAGACTCCTATTCACTCTTGAAAACGCCGAATAGTCTTTTTTCTTCAAGGAAGACTTCCCTGATATTTACTTTCACTGCCCCTTCACTCCCCATCAGATCTATTTCTATTTACATTGATCACATTCTATTGTCATTATTTATTTGTTGACTCCTTAAAGACAGGTCTTATGTCTTTCTTTTTTTTTTTTTTTCCTTTGCAGTTTACCTAAGTACCTGGCCCATGGCAGACAGTCAATAAATATGTGTTGAAATAAACTTAATTTATTTTGAAACAATTTTTAAGTATATATGCTAGAGAATATCTGTTTACAGTATGTCTAGCTTGACCATCCTACTTTTAAGGGACTTGAAAGTGTTAATTAGAGAGCAATGCAGATAACAGAAGGACTACAAAATAGGTGCATGAAGGGGAAAATGAGCTGTTTGGAGCAGAGATGTCATAAAACACAGCCCTGATAAAACCAAGGCAAATATCCCTGGTGATTCACAACCATAAGTGTCAGTAGGTATTTCTTCTGCACTAAATGAATGAGCTTCTGGCCCAAGGTTACATAGGAATATGAATAGTTATATAACCAGGTCCTATTTACATTTTTTTGAGATTCATTCATTTTGTGCTTTTATTTAGTGCTAATTTCTTTTTATTGGTATTTATGATATCATATATTATAAGTCACCATCTTAATGTACAATTTAGTAGTTTTTAGTATATTCAGAAAGTTGTAAAACAATCACCATTATTTACTCCTAGAACATTTCTTGACCCCAAAAAGAAACCACATACCTGTTAGCAATTACTTCTCACTCACTCCTCCCCCCAATCTTTGACAACCACTGTCTATTTTCTGTCTCTATGAATTTTCCTATTTTGGACATTTCATATAAATGGAACCAATATAATATGTGATCTTTTGCATCTGGTTTCTTTTACTTAGCAAAATGTTTTCAAGGTTCATCCATGTTATAGCATGTTTTAGTACTTCATTCTTTTTTATGATTAATATTCTATTATATAGATAGATCACATTTTGTTTATTCATTAATCAAGCTATAAGCATTTGGGTTATTTCCACTTTTCAGCTATTAAGATATGGCTGCTATGCACATTCTTGTAGAAGTTTGTGTGTGAGTATGTTTTTAATTCTCTTGGGTACATATTTAGGAATGGAATTGCTGGGTCATATGGTAACTCGGTGTCTAAGGTTTTGAGGAATTCCCAAACTGTTTTCCAAAGCAACTGTACTGTTTTACATTCCTATCAGCAACTTATGAGGATTCTAATTTCTTCACATCCTGGCCAACACTTGTTATTATCCACTGTTTTATTATTAATATTATTACAGCCATCCTAGTGCATGGAAAGTGTATATCATTGTGGTTTGGATTTGCATTTGCTTAATAACAAATAATGTTGAGTATCTTTTCATGTGTTTATTGGTCATTTGTAGATCTTCTTTAGAGAGTGTCTATTGAAACTTTTTGCTCACTTTTCAACTAGGGTGTTTGCCTTTTTATTGTTGAGTTGTAAGTGTTCCTTATATATTCCAGATACTAGTCCCCTATCTGATATAATCCTTCATCTGTTGATTTGCAAATATTTGGGCTGTCTTGTCATGCTCTTGATGATGGTCCTTGTAGCACAAAAGTTTAAAATTTTGATGAAGACTGATTTATCTATATTCTTTTGTTGTTTGTGCTTTGGGTGTCCTATCTTAGAAACCATTGCCTTATCCAAGGTCATGAAACTTTATACCTATGTTTTCTTCTAAGAGTTTTATGGTTTTAGGTCTTACATTTAGGTCTTTGACCTATTTTGAGTTATTTTTGTACATGGTGTGAGGAAGAGGTACAAATTCATTCTTTTGTATGTATCTATGCAGCTGCCCCTGTACCACTTATTGAAAATACTATTCTTTCCTCATTGAACTGTCTTGGTGCCTTTGTCAAAAATCAATTGTTTATAAACGTAAGAATTTACTTCTGAACTCTCAATTTTATTCCGTTGATCTATTTGTCTATCTTTATGGAAGTACCACACAGTACTTAATTTCTATTAAGAGGAATGAACAACAGACAGTCCTGACCATAGCTTTGTAGTTAGTTTTAAAATCAAGAAGTGTGAGACCTCCACCTTTGTTCTTCTTTTTAAAGGTTGTTTGGCTATCCTGGATCTCTTGCATTTTAATATAAATTTTAAGATATGATTGCAAATTTCTATAAAATGGCATCTGGGATTTTGAGGATTACATTAAATATGTAGATCAGTTTGGAGGAGTATACCATCTTTACAATGTTAAGTGTTCCAATCCATAAACACGGGGTTCTTTCCGTTTATTTAGGTCTTTTAAATTTTCTTTCCACAATGTTTTATACTTTTCATTGTATAGCTCTTGTGCTTCTCTTGTTAAATTTATTCCAAAATAATTTTTGATGCTATTACAAATGTCATTCTTTTCTTCATTTTTGGATTGTTCACTGCTATTAACATAAATTGAGGTTCATATATTGATCTTGTATCCTCAACACTGCTGTATCCATTTATTAACTCTAATAGTTTTCTATGCATTCCTTAGGACTTTCTCTATATAAGATCATATCATCTGCAAATAGACTAGTTGTACTTCTTTCTTTCTAATGTGGATGGCTTTTATTTCTTTTTTTCTTATGTTTCTGGATAGCGTGTATAGTAAAATGTTGAGTAGAAGTGTCAGGAACAGACTGACAACAACAGAACAGATTGTTGCCTTGTTTCTAATCTTAGGGGAAAGTATCCAGTCTTTTACCATTAAGCAGGGTGTCAGCTGTTGGTTTTCCAAGCTGCTCTTTATTAGGTTGAGGAAGTTCCCTTCTATTCCTAGGAGTCTTTTTATATATTCCCCAGTATTTCTATTCAACTCACTGCTGAGAAAGAAGGGGTGTCACAGTGACTGCAGCAGATCTGCAGTCCTTCCCGTTGGGAGGACTTTGAGGTGCTACTGCATAGAGTGAGGCAAGGGTATTTCACGTTTATTTGCTAACTTTCTGTAGTTTCTCACTAGGTTCTGACAGCAGTAGAGAAGAGTCCCTGGGCACTTTTGTGTTTGAAGCCCTTCCTTTTAGAAGCTGCAATAAATGGTAAAATTACAGCATGTGGCTCCACTTCGATCATTCCTGGACAAGGGCAAAGGTCAGAGAAGAGGTCTTGAGAAAGAGGACTGCTGCTGACATCTCAAGTGTGCCAGCTGGCCAAGGCCAGCTTAGGCCTGGGGTTAGTGCATTCTAAATGTGGACACAAGGGATTCCAGGAATAAGACCAGGAGAAATCCCAATTCTAGTTTCCCAGACTCCAGCCAATGCTAATATTTAACACACACAATGACCCTAATTATGTAGAAAATGAACATAGATGGCAACATCCAGGTGCAGCTTTGCCAGCAGCTTCAGTTAAATTTCTAAATCCCACATAAAAATTTCACAAAACTGCCACTCTCTTTCATATCTGACTGACCTGAAGACTTGCCATGAACTCAGTGAAGGAGCTTCTCTTATACCTTCCATTTTTCTTCCATTCCTTTAAAGCACATTTAGCCTACACATTTAGCCCCACCTTTCTCCCGAAGTCAAAGGAGAATTATAGGATATGAGAGTTGAAGAAACCCTTCTTCAGCTCTTACGTCAAACCTAATTATGTTGCTAAATTAACCCTTAACCAAAGCCTCTTCCTTACCCTGACGCTAACAACCATCCCAATGCTAACTCTAATTCTTAATTTAACCCAAGTCCTAACTCCAGCCTAGTCTAGCATCCTTCCTGAATCAGGCCTCTGATTCAGCAACTGTGATAGGTGGCAGAAGTTCGTTTTTGTTCCCTCCACATCTCCCTTGCTCTCCTTCTTTCTTTTCCTAATACTCCTTCCCAACTACCATTCTCCACTACATATTACAAGTATGCAAGGCAGCTGACACCACCCCCGACTACCTAGAAAGTACTGTAGACTCTCTCCCCAGTCTTTCTCTTGAGGTGCAAACTAAATTAACAGTAAACCCAAAGATGAAGCTGTTTGTCTTCTGATTGTAATGATGGAGAAATGAGTGTGTGCATATGTGTTGCGTGAGGGCTACATTAAGGAGGGAGAAGGAGCTCCATAATCCCCTAAGCCTCTGAGAGTCTGTAAGTTACTTAGGAGCCCAAGGCGAAGTGGCTCATTGCATCTCTACTCTGGCCCACCTATCTTGGTTACCCTTTGGCTTGTTGAAATGGAGAAGGTTTACCATGTTCTGTCAGTCGATGCTGCTTCCAGGACCAACCATTCCTCCTTGGCAGCCTTTACCTAGGCCCTCCTTGCAACGGGTCCCATCACTCTCTCTCTCCACAGGGCTTGATGGGGAAGGGCAGTGCTGCACCCTGAGATGCCTGTGCCCATTTCTGTCTTCCCCCTTGCCTACCATTTTCATTTCTCGACATGTGGAGCACAGCTGTTGGTTTCTGAGCAGCATGGAGTCACGCTGGTTCCTCCTGGTCTGAGGGGAAAGAGAGACAGAGAAAGGTGAGGAAATGGTGGGGCACATAGGGCAGCAAAGACGTAGGAAAGCAGTGGAGGGGTGAGAGAGGTAACAGTTTTTCTTTCCATAAAACAGAGATGGGCACTCTGGTCTCAGCCCCATCCAGGGTGGGTGTTGAATCTGGAGTGTGCTGCAGTTGGTAGGTTCTGAGAGTTTAGGCAGGAGGGAGTGAGACACAGGCTAGGTGGCGGTCTTGAGGCTGCTGCATACAGTGGTATAGATAAAAAGACAGCTGGCAGAGATGGCTGGGGTCTGAAATTCAGTGGGGTCTCTACTTTCCAGCCTAAGCACCTGTGTCTGAGGGGCTGCATTCTCCTATAGGTGGGCTATATTTTCCATTTCATACAAAGGCTCCACCATATAGACTGAGGATCTCTGATGGCCTAAGAAAGAATGAAGAGAAGACTTCTCTTCCTCAAATCTTTTTTCACGGGCCTTTCCTAAGCATCACCCTCCTTTCTCATGCCTTAACCCTGGGCCAGCATCAGCTCTCATGCATCCATGGTCCAGCACCATTTGGCCCTTCTGTACCTCCTAAGCACAATGATTGAAGCCACAAGCAGAATGCAAGCTTCTGTGTGGGTTCTGAGTCCCTTCAATCCTCTGGGAAAGAGAGGCTATATCAGCAGGTGAAGAAACAACCAGTAGAGGAAGGGGAGGGGCACCGTGTCTGCTCATTGTAACCACTGGTTTTTGTTCTGACTTCATTTCTGCAAAAGGGTTAAAGAGAGGACTTTGGAGCATTTATACCTGGTTCAGGAGGTTCTCATTTGCATCTCTGATAAAGGTTTGCTTAGGAAGCATATAGGAACTTGAGGCTAAAATTATGTTTGGGGACTCTCTCTTAATCTTCCTCATTCACATTTACATCAGTCATGAGATATGGTCACAGAAAGTGTAGAATATGGGGAAGAGGAAAACCACAGTGAGAAGACTATTGACTGAAGTCTTCTCTTTCCTTTGATCCACTTGCTGGCCCATCACTACATGGTGTGTCTTGACCCATTCCTGTTGCCCTGGGAGGCGTGGGGAATAGAAAGAGGAAGAATAGAAAGTGAGGAGTTTCTGAGGTGTGCTCCTAGGATGACCTCTGCCAGATTGTTCTGCAAGTAGCTTCATCCTGTGAGAGACATACAGCACTTAGGTGAGGCATCATTGGGGGTTTGAGGGCTAAAAACTATTAACAAAGTTGGATTCTTTTGATAAATATTTAAAATACACTTCATTTTTATAGGGCGTTCTAAAAAGAATCAACTCAGTATCACAATGTTGTGGGTTGGTATGTCAAAGTATGTGTGTGAATAACTAGATTCATTCATTCAACAACAAACATCTATTGTGAGGCTACCAAGTAAAGGGTGCTGTGATGGGGGTCATACCGATGAATAAGGCAAAGTTTCTGGAAGGAAGTCTGTAAGGAAGACAAAAGAAGAATACAAATTTATTCATTTACCCATTCATTAGGTACTGGAGACATTTAAATAAATAAGACATAGTTTGTGACCTCAAGCTGCTCACCATCCAAGAAGTATGATGGTGTTGAAGGTGCTACAACGAAATGTATCAAGGCCCCAATGAAGCTGAAAAGGGTCATTGAGCTTAACTGGGGGTGGGGCAGAGAGGGAAGGGTCTGAGAAGGGTGAAAAAAACAGGCAATGCTTGGGTAGGTATTTATGGAGTGAACAAGGATAGTGAGGGTGTTACAAGCCCAGGAAACACTATGCAACAACCTGGAAGAATAACCTAGCCAATCAGCTTCAGGTAAGTGAATGTAGGTTGGACTGGACAGGTTGTCTGGTTGGAGGATGAATGGAGTGAGAAGAGAGACTAGAGAGGAAGTGTCTGTGTGTACTGACTGCTCTGCTTTGGGCTGATTCAACTTTCTACCATGTCTTCCAGATACCCCTGGGGGTGGTATCCCCTGAAGCTCCAGCTCCTCCCTCCATCCCTCACATCTCTGAGGTATGAGAATGAGGTACATTTCTGAAACTGCAATTAAGGTAGGACACACTAGATATCACACAAGAGGCAGTAATACCTCCGTGCCTTCAGAAAACAGAGAGACCACTTCTGATTGGAGAAATCAGGGAAGACTTCCTAGAAGTGGAATTTGCACTCAGTCTGAAGGGATGAGGAAGACCCGGACAGAGGGAGGCAGATATGAGAGAATCCTTGGGCAGGTTTGTTTTTAGTAGAGTTATAAGTTCTTCACTGAAATTATTTACTTCACCTTTTTCTAGACTTCTCGTTTCTGCTAAGACTACTACTAGACCATACAGGAATTGCAATCTCAGAGCTCATTGCAAATCAAGCAACAGATATTATTTGCAAGATCTCCAAAGTACATTTCAAGATCTTGCTAGGTTAAAGACAACTGTAAATGTGACTACAGAGTCCCATAACATAATGACTGTCATCTCTTAGAATCTGAGGCATGAAATGCTTATATATTGTCCCACCTGGCCTTGATAACTACTCATTTAAGACATAGTGTAGGTGTTACATCCTCAGAAAACCTTTCTCCTGGAGCTGCTACCATTTCTCACCCTCCTAACTTCAGTTGGGTGCCTGCCTCTTTGATTGCATCATAAACTCGGTCTAGCTTTCTTTGTATTTGCACTATTCTTCTTGTTTTTAAATGTGTTTGTTTCCTCCACTGGGTTGAGAGTTATTATATTTAAGAGCAAGAATCATGTTTTACACATCTTTGTACTCCTAGAACCTATGATAGAACCTGGCACATAGCAAGTATTCAACAAACATTGGGCGAATGAATGAGTCATTGTAAGCAATTTAAATTATGAGATCTAAATATAGATACAATCAACACACACACACACATATATATATATATAAAACAAAAAGTGCATATGTAAATGGATATCACTATTATAACACTGTCTTCGGGGAAATGTTACAGAACATTAGTGTTGTAGTGCAACAAATTCATTCTATGTAATACACTGGGGAAGAACACTGGCTAGATGCCCAAAGAGCTCTGTTCCAGTCTTGGCTCATAAACAACTTGAGTGACTTTTGTCAATCATATAAACTCTCCAGGTCTCCCTTCCCCTGCTGATAATCGTCTTTGTGGCCAAAAAGACAGAGGCAGATGCTCTGATCCTGTCCCTTTACACTTTACATGTAAAGATAAAAAGCAATCTTTGATCTGTGCCGTACTCTACCTCAGACTCGCTATCAGCTGAAGCCTGGCTTCCAAGAAGGGATACTCCATTTCTATCTGGAGAAGGCATGAGGGCATTGAAGGGTCACGGAAGGCAGCTGTGACAGGCTACTTTAAAGGTGATGCGAACGTTTAAGACTCCATGTCCTGCAGGCCTCATTTCCTCCATTCTCTCTTGCTTTCTTTCCCAGCTCTGAAACCCAGGTCTTTGGTTTTCTTCTTCTGTTGCATTCCCTTCTCACTCTTGGTTTCCTTATGACCAGCTCAGCAGCAATAACAGGAATGGAGAGGGAATTGTCCAGGTTCACAGCACAAGGCCCTGGTTTTATCAGGTCTAGAGCCAGAGGCACTGGAATGTTAATGGGGCCCTCATTTCCCAAGCAGCTGTCCTCTGGATAGCAGATGGCAGTTGTGACAGGAGAGTGACAGCAACCTATGTGTAGCCTGGCCAAGGTATGATGCAGATTTCAGCCAGTCCCCAGAAGCCAAAACACATTTGACAATTGGAAACATCCTCATATCTGAGGACAATGTCTGCTGCGGTGTCTAAGGGCTGGCTCATGGCCCAAGGCTGTGGCCTTCTTGAACCCTTGGTAAAGAAACAGAGAAACATATTTCTCTCCATCTCCCTCTCCCTCTACTCTCCTTTCCCTCTTTCACTCTCTTTCTCTCTCTCTCTTACACAGCTGTTCACATAAAAACCAAAAAAGCTTGTGATTAAAACAGGCTTCACAAGCACCCTGTGAAGAGTACTGACACATTTGCCTCTGTCCTTTCCTTCAACACCTCTATTTCTTTTCTCCTTCCCACTTTTAACTTAACTGAGAGAGACCTCATAGAACACCTGGTTCAAATCTTTCAATTTACCCAGTGAGAAAGCTGTGGCCCAGAAAGGTTAAGAGATTTGTTCAATACTACATCTATTGAACTTCAGTCGGCTAGAAAGTTTTTGGATAAAAAGGATTATCTTTCCTCAGGAGAATAGTAAACTCTTAGAATCCATATAAAGGCCAACTCTATAGAATCCATATAAAGGTGGTTCACGCCTGTAATCCCAGCACTTTTGGAGGCAGAGGAAGGCGGATCACAGGATCAGGAGTTCGAGACTAGCCTGATCAACATGGTGAAACCCCGTCTCTACTAAAAATACAAAAATTAGCCAGGCGTGGTGGCATGCGCCTATAATTCCAGCTACTCAGGAGGCTGAGGCAGGAGAATCACTTGAACCTGGGAGGTGGAGGTTGCAGTGCCATAGAACTCTAGCCTGGGTGACAGAGCAAGACTCCATCTCAAAAAAAAAAGAATCCATATAAAGGCAGAATTATTTCTACCATGTAGAATCCCAAAAGTAGTGCTCAGAGAACTAATTTCAATATTCAAAAAACTTTATGATATTACACATGTTCCTTCTATCTGAAAATGTCAGCCATTTTAAAGAATAAAGCTGAATATACCTTCAAAAATGCTCTTAATATTCACTAGGAAAAAACCCCGAAATGTATACAAAATAATAGACAGCCATGTCCCTACATTCAGATTTATTAAATTTGATTTTTATTACCATCACTATTTTAGGTCAATAGCATTTAATATTCTCTTTAAAAATTGTATTTGTAGTTATTTGCACTAGATCAACATAAGCAATATAAATATGAAAATGACTTGGGAGTAAATGAGCTAGTTTCCTTGGTAGTTATGAGCTTTGAAAATTTAGTCAATGTGAGAGAAATAATAAAAAGAGAGTTCTTAGTGGTGAGACAATAGAAAGTCAACATCCTATACATCATCCCCAGCTATGCCTCTGCTACTGCACGATCTTTTTAGCCAGGGCTTTTTGCCACAGGTCTGCTAAAAGCAGAATAATAACGTTCTTATCTTCACTCTGACTCATTAGACTGGAAAAACAAACCCAGATCAAAGTGAGTAGAGAGAGACTAGGGGCAGGAATTGAGAGGGTGGAGTGGCATTTTATAATCTATTAGTAACTGAGGAGTTCTAGCTAATTTACACCCAGTACCAGCAAGTGGGCAAAGGGGTTTGAAAGTCTCCAGCTGCAGTTTTCCAGGTCACCCCCACACACCTGCTGTTCCTTTGCCTTGGATCCCCGAGTCAGTCACCTCTTGACCCAGTTACCCAACTATCATGATGCACCTTTCTGTTTCTTGGCATCTTGAGGAGTCATGAGTGGATGCCTGGAAATGGCAGGTGAAAGCAATGACTAACGAAGAAGCTTCTCCACAGTAGATGTTTAAATGAGGAAATGTTTAGGCTTCATTTGTCTTCACTAAAAATCTTTCTTCTTTGATAGACCTGCCTCTCCTTTTGTTTTGTGGTTTTTGTCCCTCATCTCTGTGGGTGTGTTTCTCTCTTGCTTTCTGCTCCCTCTCCCTGTTATTGTGTCTCTGAGCCTGTTTCCCCTTTGTCTATTCACTAGGAAATACTGCTCCAGGCACACGTGCACCTGCCTCAGCCACCGGGCTGCTTCTGGGCAGGGGAGGAGTAAGCGGGTGTTTAAAGTTCTGCTCTTTGACCTGTGATGGTGAAGAGGAAGGCAGCCAGGTGGCAGGACCTTTGCACCTCTGCACAGGGTCCAGGGCCTCCAGTTGGCCTCTGGATTGCCAGCAGCTTCTTGGCAGGTCCCTGAATTAGAGGGTGAAGGAAGAGATCGTGTCTATAGTACATTCTACTCCCTTGAAACACAACAGTTTCTTTCCAGAAGGAGCAGCTGCCGGCTGAATCCATGTTTACCTCATGGCACATACGTGCAGGCCTTCATACACGCAGTAGACTCTGGGAGCCAGATTCAAATTTGAGGACGTCTATGTGACAGGAAAGAATATAACTGGAGGTACCTGCCCGGTGCCCCAACAGAGCAAGGACCCCGGGTTCCTTACTTGTGTTTCAATCTGCAGGGGTGACTCTTTCTCACGTGCAAATCAGTGGAGGGTCAGCCTGCAACAGGATGAGTGAGGGTGAGGTTGAGGGGCCTGTGCTCTCACTCGATAAGAGCAACCTATCTGGGACTTCTCATGGGTCAGCCAGGAAACTGACCTCCCAGGCACCCTTTGGGCTATGCAGCTGGAAGCTGTTGCTCTTAACTGTCATCTAGTGGCTAACCATGAATATTGCAACCACAAAAACCGCTATACCCTGCTGGAGAACGGCCTCTCACTCCCACTGGTGGTTAGGATTGGCTTTCCTTCCCCATTCTCCACCCCAGCCAGGCTGGGACTTGGTGTCCTAGCGCCTAGGTTGCCACAGTACAGAGACCCAGAACAAACCTGAGATGAGGAGGCGTTCAGCAGCAGGTGAGACCTGTCTAAATAGGAAGCTCACAGCGACTTGATGACTGAAAGGCTTCTTGCTGGTTCTGCAGCAATTGCTAAGCCTGTCCTGCCTCCCTGCTCATCCCCCACCTCCACCCAGTGCATGTCATGGTGGTCATGTTACCTACTTGCCTGCCCAAGGTGTTAGGGGGACTAAGAGATGACTCTTAAGCAAAGCCTGGACCCTGACACTCCGGTGTTGAAAACCTTCAATGTGTCCTCTCTGCTTTTGTCTGTTGGGCCCTGTATGCATTAGCTGGGCCCAGCTGTGTCCTTGTTTCCCTTTCATGTATGCTTATAATTCCTTGATATTCTTCAGGCATTTCCTCCTGCACACTCAGTCTCCACCTCTTTGCTGATAATCTTCTCCTCTTTCCAGTTCTTCCTCCACCCCTGGCTCTTCCCTCCACTTGAAAACAGTATCTTCTAGATCCAATGCAGATGCCACTTCCTCTTGAATCATTCCCTCACTCCCACTCTGCTTGCCCAACCTGGGGGTAACCTTTGTTCCCACCTTCTCTCACAAGTGCTGTGCCCTATCTCTGAGATGTATTCTCAGTTGTGTCCCCGTCCTGTCTGCTCACTCATCTGCATAGCTGTGGCTGACTTACTCATCTCTGATGTATTAAAGCAAATACAAAGTCCTCTGTAAACATTTATTGACTGACACCAGGGCTCCTAATAATTGTGGCTCACATTCACTGAGCTCCTGCTCTGGGTGGGGCACCGTGTCAAGTGCCTTAGGACGCTGCTTCAGGCACTGCCTATGACAGCCCTGTGAGGAATGTGCAATTTTTCAGGTGAAAAAAACTGCTTATCTCACCATATGTTTTCTTTCTTTCTCCACCTCAGGAAGGTGCTGACTACCCGAGCCCTGTAGCCTGTGTGCTTGCTCCACAGTGACACTGAGGGTCACTTGGCAGCCGGTCACGGTGGAGGGGAAATGAGGAGTTTTTAATGTAAAATTCCACAGGTGTCAGGAGTTGCAGGTGGGAGACATAAGCATTCCTTTGGGGGAGGCATTAGAGACTCCTGATTGGTTCCAGTCACAAGCTGATAGGCAATCCCTGGAAGTCTTGGGGCAGATTCCTCCATACTCATTTTAGTTTCCTGTTCTGTTGATTCTAACCTTATGCCTATATTCTTAGTTCTAGTGAACTGGGGCCCTTAGGCACTTGAGACATAGTGAGGGGGGTGGAGCCATTCACTTCATTTAACAAATATTTATTGAACACTGATGGTGCACCAAGCGCAGGGCTGTGCTAAGGAGATGAGACATGTATTCATATTCTATGTCATTCTAGAACTGCTGTTGTTTTCAATAAAAATTTTTGAATACCTTAGATAAAACATCTGGAACTTGAAACAAAATTGGCAAATTCATATTCCTCTTGGACGAAGTCAGAAAAGTCGTAGAGGAAGGAGGATATCTAAGTAATTAAAACAAGAGAAAGTTAGAACCACAGTCCCCCATTTGAAGAGCCAGGCCCTTGGTTGTTTCTGAGAGAATACAAGGGACACCACAGGGAGCTGCCTTCCACTCCAGTTCTGGAGGACTCAGGCCATTGAGGAGCTCCCAAAAGATGGATTTGCCCTCCTATGTCACTTTGGCTTTTCTGTCCCTTTTGTTTTGCACTAACCAATTTTGGATTGTCAGTGTACAAACAAGGCAGGATAAAGATTGTTCACAACAGTAGATGTGTAATGAGCAAAATGAATCCCAGGTTTTCTCTTTGAAAGGGTCTGCACTCAAGTTTTCGATGTCTCACCTGTGCCTGTCCCCTTTCATACCTGGGCTGACTTCTTGGAGTTTGTGTCCTTGCACCCTGAAACAATCCACCTGTTTCCTCCCACAGAACGTCTTCTCCCTCCACCCATTCTTTTCCTTTGCAACATTTTTTCTTTCTAGTTATCAGTTGAAGCAGTGATGTTGCAAGAACACCAGTTCTTTTTACAGGGTGACCTGCCTGTGCTCTGTCTCACTTGGTACTGTGGTTCATTTCATTACAGTGTACGGGGCCAAGACCTGCAGGGGCCTGATAATCATAAACTGTTTGTGTGTGTGGCACCATTCATGCCCCTGGCATCCAAGAAGTAGAAACTCAGAATGCTGGCAGTTTTGCCGGGAACACATCTCCTCTTTAATGAGGAAAGATTTCATTGTCCATTGTTCATTTAAAACAAAGGCATGTGGAAGGGGTTTGATGTTCATGAGGCATTCCTTGTTTCATTTCTCCCCACACTTCCCTGGACCCTGTGAGACCAGAGACGGTGGGTCTGACATCAGTGCCCTCAGGGTCTTTGTCTTTGATATGGGAATAGACTGTCTTGGACTTGTCACCCAAATGCTGATGAGGAGAGACCAGGAGGCCAGCTTAGAACTCCTTCAGCACACTATAATCTTATACAAACAGGACCTTAGTGTGACTTGAAGGGCTTTGAAGACTGACGATGAGGGTGGCTTCGAAATTGTCAGGCCAACCTGAGAGAGTCCTTGAAGGAAGTGGGTCAGTACAGGCACTTCTTATTACAGCCCAGCCGCACCTCCTCCATCCGCGCAGGTGTGTTTCCATTGCGCACAGCTGGAATTACTCTGAGCATATTTGACTAAATGTTCCTTTATCTTTTTCAGACTGTTCTGCATTAGAACTCTTTGCTCAAGGGTATGTAACGCTTAAGGCACATTGAGAACTTTCTCCCAAAGTCTCAGTAAGGGGCTTTGCCAAAAATAAACAGCTTGGAACCCAGAGCTTTGTCCCACATGAGGAGCTTTTAATCCTTAAGATCTGTTGATACTTAAACCATCCTTTCAAAAGACTTTACATTCCTGTCTTGTCCTCCTGAGAGTTCAGGGCACCTCAGAGGTGCTGTTCGGTCACCTTTGTTGTAAGGTAGGTGTATTACATTTTTCTAAACAAGAATTGAGATTGCTACCCCAATCCTCCCAGAATAGCGATGAGTAGAGCTTCACTGCCTGCCTAAGGTAATTTCTTCTTGTGCCTAGCCTAGGTTTGGCTGGCTGGAGGAAAAACTACCCACTCCCTTTCCAGTTGGCTGTCAACAGACTGTCTGCTCTGACCCTCCAGGACCTGGCTGTGAAATTGAACAGGTGCTGCGGAAGGCCAGTTGTATTCTGGGCCTACCCTTCTCCCTGATCTTCACCCTCTGCCAAAGGCTTATATACTTAGAGACCAAGGGAGCTGGGGGCAAGAGAGTCATGCACAAGGATACTTTGCTCTTGGCTGCTGGGGCAGGTCTAATGGACATGGGGGTAGTAAGGGATGGTGGGATATTACCCTATTAGATCAAACACTAGCAATTTCACATAAAACATCCAGATTTCTAGTACTATTAGAAGACCCAGTGGATCTGGCCTCTGGACTCACATGCCTGCAGGTAACACTGCTGGGGTGCGGGTGGGCTGAAGTGGGGAGGTGATTTCCATTCACTGCAGTCCTGTTTGGCCAGCTGTACTCATTATGCCCCTCATCTCACTGTCATGGGCCTGTGAGTTTGTGTCCCACCCTCAATTAAAATATGCTAGACTATCCTTACTTATGCTGATCCATGTAGCATTAACAACTCTTAATAAGCCCTCTATCACTTAGTGCTTTTGTTTCTTAAATAGGCCTTTGAGTTTATTGAACCTCTGATAATCTGCTTTAGACATATTCAAAATTATGTAAAAGCAACACAATTGAATAATGAGCACTAGAAAGCACTTGTGAATTTTGTTCTGAAAATACATAAAACTGTACCTATTTACTGAGAATGTGATTTTTTTTTTTTAAAGTAGAGTAGACAAAGTAAGGGTACGTGTTACTAAAGTGGGGATGTGGAGATAGTGATGGGAATTCGCTCACGAAGTCATTTATCCATGGGCAGGAGGGTACATGGTAGTTATCAACGGGAGGAGAAACTCTTTTCGGGGAGTCTGGCTTTTCTAACAAGCTGTTTCACATGCCAAGGAGTGGATCCTTTTTTGTCTGTCATGTACCTTTGGAATGGCCTCTATGCCTGCCTTTTCTTTGCCCTCCTTCTGGTTTCTTTCATTCACCCCAACACTGCTTCACACCTACCCTTCTGTCCATGTCCCCTTTCCAGAGTGGGGTTTATCACTACACTTAGGAACCATTTCATCAAAAATGGAGAAGGAACATGGTAACCCAATAATTTCAAGAGACAGCTGAAATGCTCCCTAGACATGTAATTCCTGCAATTTTGAAAAATAGATGTATGTGTCACATAGTAGTCTGTCTGGAAGGAATAGGACTAACAAGATTGTAGGAGGGTACCTCAAAGTTACATACAGAGTTACTATTCTATAAAGATGGGAACTTACTGTTCTAGATTTTGATGGTAAAAATGTGAAAATTTCAGACTATAGCAGTGGAGAAAAGGTGGGGTGAGAAAGAGGATGGAAGTGTTTTGAGAGACAGTGTCTAGCGACAAAATTATCTTATACTGTTGAGTGGTAGAGGGAAATAATTTGAGATCTCATCTCCTCTAGCCAGGTCTATACTCAGTGATCATTTTTGTCTGAGAAACCTGGAATATTTCTATTTTTAAAGCACTTGACTTGAGTTTCTCAATGGATCAAATGCGCCCTCTGATAATTGTATAATTATCATCCCTTAAGAAGAAATCATCTTCTGTGAGATGTTTCGTAAATCTTTTGCCCTCAGTGGCTGAGAGGTTACCTTCTGGGGAGGCTGAGCACTAGTGGCTTGTTTACGAGGCTGGCCTCACTAAGCCAAGGAATCTTGTCAAATTTTGCAACAGAAGCCTAGAGGGAAATAGAGAACATTTTACAGAATGTATCACACTTAAACATTGCTATCATTACGATGGCCAAAGTCAGCTAATAGCAGCCATATAGTGAACACTTTGCAAAACTTTTTATATTTTATATTTGACTCTTTGACCATCCTATACAGTAGCCAAGTGCAAATAATGTCATCTCCATTTTACTAATGAAGAAATCCAAGGTCAGGTAGTGTGATTTGCCTTGAGTCACTGAGCTAGTAAATGGGTCATGTTTTCTGACTTTTGTATCCACTGTATCCCGTGTTTTACTACATCCCTTTGTTTATTATTTCCTTCGTTTATACATCCTTTAATATTTCTATGAATTCAGTTTAATTAGCAATCTTCTCCTTTCCTCTTTTAGGAGTTAAAGAGGAAAGAACCAAGCTTTGAATCTATGGACAACTGGATATTGATTTCTGTTCATCTACTTCCCAGGTGCCTGTCCTTGGACAAATTCAACTTATCTGAGCCTTAGATTTGTCCTCTTTGAGGGGGAAGATGATATAATCAGTGTAAAGGTCAATGTACCAAAAAAGAGAGTTTCATGAGAGCAGCAATTTTTGTCTGTTTCATTCACGGCTGTATCATGAGTACCCCCAAGGAGGGCTTGTTACCTGCAGGCATTCAGTCAGTATCTGTGGAATGAACGCATGGATGCATGGGAAGTCCCAGCTGAGGGCCTGACTTAATAAAAGGAGCGCAACAAAAGCGGCCATTATCTCTCACCCACTGGCCCAGCCTCTTTCCTTGTCCTCTCCTGCCTTACCCGGCCCTTCAGATGGCACATCCCATCTTTCAATAGGGGATTGCTGGAGATTTGCCTTCCTAGGCTCAGGGCATTCGGGTTTGGGCCAGTCTCCAGGAGAGGAGCCCGGAGGTCCTCTGAGCAGCCAGGAGGGGGCAGCAGCCACGTCGCGATGGTTCCGGCTGGGGAAGGGTGCTCTCGCTGAGGAGATTGCGGCAGACCCGGAAGTGCTCCGCCACAGTCGCAGCCCCTGCGCCCCGGAGCGGGAAAAAGGCTGGGTGCCGCCGTCCCCTAGCTGCGCATCCCTAGGAACTCTCGGGCAGGTGGGTTCCGTGTAACCGTCAGTGTTTCCGGGGATCCTTCTCCTCTGCTGTCTCTCGCAGGCTCAAGGCTGAGTGAGGGGTGGCGGCTGGAGTGGGAGGCCCGGCGAGTGAAGGCGCACCCCTGGGGTCACCCTACCCTACCCTACCCTACCTTGTCCCCTCCCAGCCCCACTCTGCGGGCGGGCGCTGCCCTTTTGGGCGTCGCGAACCCTCCAGCCTCGGCGGCGGCCTTAAGATTCCCGGGCTGGGATCCCTGCTGCAGAGAGCGGGGTAACGGTGTCCGGCCTGCCAAGCAACACTTGTCGTGGTCTTCATGGAAGAAATAAAGTCGGGCAATATGAAATTTTTTTTCCTCAAATTTGCCAGATGCCTGTGGTGTTTCTGACTCTTAGTTTTCTCATTGTGAAAAAGGGATGATTACCTTTCTCGATCCTCACAAGAGTTTCCTTGTTTTGAGTAGACTGATAGCTCTTTAAAGGATGCTAAGCTCAGCTAATGGAAGAAGAGTCTAGTTTCTTTGAGTCTTTGATTTTGGCTAAACAAACTGTAGAGCTCATACCTTTCTGTATGGTGCAGCTTACTACTGTCTTTGGATTGGTAATTTAAAAAATATAACATGCCTTTGAGAACCAATAAAAGCTATGGATATTATCCGTATAAATTCACACAAATCCGGATATAAGCATGCAATGTGATACACCGAAGGGGTATGTGAACCACTGAGTTAAGAACTGGTTTAGAGGGAGATACAATGTCAGACACAGGCTTTGGGATAAGACTTTGGTTTGAATCCTGGCTCTGCTCTGTTACCTTAGGGCAAAGTTACTTAAGCATCTTGAATCTCAGCTTTTTTACCAAAGCAGGACTAATACTAACTTGCAAGGTTGTGAGGATTAAGTGAAAGAAGATACATAAGGCATTTAGCACATAGTAGGCACTCAATAAATGATAGCTAACAGATGTCTATTATTATTCAAGGAATTATAATTTTCAAGTCTGAAATGCAGTTTTAATGTCCCAAATTAATAAGGTGACTACCACATACATTTTGCTCAGACTTTTAGTAAACTGAGTTGATTTGACTTTAACTCAGTACTACTCTTGACCTTTCACAACTTTCGTAGGTTCACAGTCTCTCTTTTTCTAGGAACTTGGCTGTGTTGTCCTGCCTCAGAGACAAATTCATCTGTTGTAGGCCTAGCCTGGGTTGCTGCCTTTGAAAACAAGGAAAGGTTGATAGAACATCAACCACAGCATGGAATTTCCAGGGAGGTCTCATTTCAAAACTTCATAAAGAACAAGAACCACCTGGACTTCTGTGAGGGCGATGATTAAACTGGCCTGAGTTTGAATGAAAGGATAATGTGTGCCCAACCTGTAACTAGCACCAAGGAGGTCAAGTGGCAGAAGGTCTTGTATGAGCGACAGCCCTTTCCTGATAACTATGTGGACCGGCGATTCCTGGAAGAGCTCCGGAAAAACATCCATGCTCGGAAATACCAATATTGGGCTGTGGTATTTGAGTCCAGTGTAGTGATCCAGCAGCTGTGCAGTGTTTGTGTTTTTGTGGTTATCTGGTGGTATATGGATGAGGGTCTTCTGGCGCCCCATTGGCTTTTTGGGACTGGCCTGGCTTCTTCACTGATTGGGTATGTTTTGTTTGATCTCATTGATGGAGGTGAAGGGCGGAAGAAGAGTGGGCAGACCCGATGGGCTGACCTGAAGAGTGCCCTAGTCTTCATTACTTTCACTTATGGGTTTTCACCAGTGCTGAAAACCCTTACAGAGTCTGTCAGCACTGACACCATCTATGCCATGTCAGTCTTCATGCTGTTAGGCCACCTCATCTTTTTTGACTATGGTGCCAATGCTGCCATTGTGTCCAGCACGCTATCCTTGAACATGGCCATCTTTGCTTCTGTATGCTTGGCTTCACGTCTTCCCCGGTCCCTGCATGCCTTCATCATGGTGACGTTTGCCATTCAGATTTTTGCCCTATGGCCCATGTTACAGAAGAAACTAAAGGCATGTACTCCCCGGAGCTATGTGGGGGTCACACTGCTCTTTGCATTTTCAGCCTTAGGAGGCCTACTGTCCATCAGTGCTGTGGGAGCCATACTCTTTGCCCTTCTGCTGATGTCTATCTCATGTCTCTGTCCATTCTACCTCATTCGCTTGCAGCTTTTTAAAGAAAACATTCATGGGCCTTGGGATGAAGCTGAAATCAAGGAAGACTTGTCCAGGTTCCTCAGTTAAATTAGGACATCCATTACGTTATTAAGGCAAGCTGATAGACTAGCCTCCTAACTAGTATAGAACTTAAAGACAGAGTTCCATTCTGGAAGCAGCATGTCATTGTGGTAAGAGAACAGAGATCAAAACAAAAAAGATGAACCAAAGGCTTGGGTGGTGCGGGTTCTTATCCTTTCCGTTATTTTGTGGATGAAAATACTTTCTGGGACCCTCTTGAATTACATGCTGTAACATATGAAGTGATGTGGTTTCTATTAAAAAAATAACACATTCATCAAGTTGTCTCATGATTTTTACATAAACAGTAGGCAGAGGGGCATGAAGAGTGAAGAGTGTGTGTGCGTGTGTGTGTGTGTGTGTGTGTAAAGTCACTTCTCTCTACCCTTTTCAATGTGCTAATGCTGTTTTATTTATCTAGGGCTCAAATCCTAGAACACAAGGTGCTGTGTTCAGTTTTGTTGCCCAATATCACAGAATTGGTTACCTAACCTTGACTCAGTTTCTACCTTGTTGTTAGGGAAGCATATACACAACTAATTACAAAGCAGAGTGTGATGTGTCATAATAAGGAGAATGCTAGGGGGAATTCAGAAGCTGGAGATAAATTTCAGCTGGAATAATTAGGAAATACTTATGAGAGGCAGTGACATTTGAGCTTAGTCTTGGAGGATAGGGAGACTTAAGTAGGCAAAAGATGGTTTTAGGGCAATGTGTTGAAGGCCTTTAGAGGCCAGGTCAGTAACGGAAGCAAGTGAAACTGGCATGCTTTGTGTGACTGATGGCAACTGTGAACAAATGGAGATGTCCAATGGAGACACCTGCTACAGTGCTCCAACTGGTAGTTTCTATTCACAGTTTGTGCCTAGCTTCAGACCCTTAGAATTCCAGATAGGATTCTAAAAGAAGTCCCAGTAACTGTGTATCTGATTTTTAATATGAAATCTGACTTGTAAATTCTGTCTCAAGTTTAAATTAATCAGGCTAAAAACACGTTTGCAGCAACATAAGATTACTACCGTACCACATCTGTCCTTAGCATGGGCACGACGATGGGACAATATTTGATGGCACTTCAGGGTTATGGGGAGTTTTGGAAGGGAATATTGGGAAAAAGTCAGAATGGGAGGTTGAGTAGCAATTCGAGGGCTGTGAATTTGGGCTCTATACTGTAGGTAATGGGGAGCAATCCATTTTGTCTAAGGAGGAAATAAATCATCACATCTTAGGCCACAACTGTTCTATGTCTCAGTTTTCATCTGTAAAGTGGGAATAAAAGTATCTACCTCTAGAATTGTGGTAAATGGGATATATGCAAAGTGCTTTGAAGAATGCCTGACACGAAGCACTATGTATTAGCATCAGCACTATGTAATAGCTAGTACTAATGTATTAGGTGTTGTTTAAGTTGACATGTAAGAAAACCTAAAGAGAGCAGAGACAAGGTGCCAAATGCAGCAGGCACCTCCCAGGATAGCTGGTTATTCCTGTGGTAATTCATTTGCGGCAAGTTTCTGTACTGTCCTTTTATCACTAGGAATTAACTTCAAATCAGAAATTTTGTCAAGGGAGTGGTATTACTGAAAAATAATATTTTTATTTATTTGAACATAAATTTCTCAAGAATGTCTGGGACATGACTTTGAACTAGTGTCTTCA